AATTGTTATGGATAAAATTAGTGGAATTTCAAGAAAGATATTTTATGATCAATACAGCTTTAGTTCCAGTGTGAGAACACTTTCGAGATTTGAAAAAAAACACAAATTTTTAATGAAATTATATATGATTTCTCTTGCATATATGAATTTTGCTAATCATTTTGTGCATATAAAAGTTTTAAAATAATATAATTAAGATATTATTTTAATAATTTACAAGATATTTCATAATTTATTTTGATATATTATGTAATGTAACATATAATATGCAATATCTTGTAAAGTATTTTATTTCTTCGATTTAATATCTTTAAATACATAATAGTGAAACATATAAAAAAATATTAATCTATTTGGATTATTTGTTTATTAGCACATGGTGCATTAAAAGGAACGAGATGTAAGGCGGCATGGTTGCACACAGGCAGTTCTAAAGTAAAGTGGTAGACAGCTAACGTTTGGCGGGGTGAAGCACGACGACGACGGAGGGAAGCTCGCTTCGAGCGAGCTTTTTCTCGTATCTCGGGGCGAGTCGGGGCAGTCGGTCGGAGCGCGCTGTTTCGTTCGGAAGTCCTGAAGGGAACAAGGGTGTTCGCCTCAAGCTGCTCGCGGAACTTGATCGCGTATCCGACCGGACGGTTTATTTATTTTTTTCTAGACTACATTTTTTATTTATTTATTTACTTATTTATTTATATCGTTAATAAAAAAAAATCCGTCTCCTCGAAACGTATTTGCAAGCAGTCGAAAAATTTTCTCCCCGAGTTTCGCGGGTCCGATTGTCGTCTTTGTTCGTTCTATATTCGCGAGGCGACGAGATTTTTGGTCCTGTTTGAGCGCGGTGCCATCCGCGACAAAGAAATTCAAGGGAAAGAAAGGAAGGAAAGTGTCATCGTGCACGCGCAGAACGCGAGAATCTCGGGAGGAGTCGACGGCCCGACGACACTGCTATTTCCAGGCTGAGACACACCGGTAAGACACACTCGGCGCGACAATTTCTAGTAGCCAATTGTATATTTCATCGAAAATCCAAAAATATATTTTTATTTTTAAATTTACAAATTTATTTTATCTATATAAATATACATATATTGATTCTCATAGATATATACACATACATAGAAGTGTTAAAATGGAGAAGCTTGTTAAACCCTTACTATCTCAAAATTTTAGAGAAACAAAAAAAAATATCAAATGTAAAAGATTTTAACTATTTTTCAGTTTAAATGTATTTTTGACAAAGTTGTGTGAAAAAGAAAATCAAATACAATAAAATATCTTAATTTTGAGAGTCAATCGAAGAAATTAAAGATAAAAAAAATCCAAGATACGCGCATTGTATAACACTATAATAATTAAGAATTCGAATGCATTAAATGCGTTGATATATATGAGGATATATTGAACGATCGATCGATCTCTCGAAGTCGCGATTACTTATGCCAGGGCGTGACTCGGATGATCAAAGTTCGCAGGATACTATATTTTCAAGGAAATCAAATTTGTGTCGGAGAACCAGATATGTAGAATTATATTTGCATAGAATAACAAGTCAATTAATCTAACATAAATAATAAATTATTATGAATAAATAATTAAGCATATATTAATTTTCAATTTAGTTCTTTGGTTTTATAAGAGATATTTAACATATCGTATTTCTTAACAACTTGACAGTTTCAAGAATAGAAGATCTTCAATTGTGCTTAGAGTGAAAAGGAAAAGGGGGGAGAAAAGGGGGGACAGGGAAGGATTTAGACCGGAAATAGAGCTTCCTCTGACCGGGAACTCTTCCTTCCGTTTGGTTGATGCCGACGGTCGTTGTATCCGAAGGTGTATAACGCCATCGCGCCGCTATTTTTGTCAGCATTCAACAGTCACCCGTCAAGACGGGACGTGTAGCTACCCTCTCGCGTGCAGCCGAAAAGCTGTGCGCGCGTGCTCCCGCTTCGTTTTCGGCTTTTGTACCCTCGCGCGAGTACTATTCGGCCCTCACGATCGTTCTTCACGAGACCGGCATCCTTGTCACGACCATTGTATATAGCTTTTACGTAATTTATATATACGGAGGCCATTTAAATCCCCCCGTTCGTTATTTAAGAAAATCCTGTTTATTAAATTATGATTAATGATGCTTTTAATTTAATTATATAATCTTAATATAGATGTTAAAAAACATTTAGTTTTTTAATTTACATCTTTAAATTCTAATCCATACTAATTTTATATAGAACGACATATATATATTGATCTTTTTATTATACAAATATGATAGATTAAGCCGTACTTCTTAATAATATAGTATGTAATCTGAAAAATACTTAATAACAGCCGATTGCAAAGTGCAAAAAGATTGAATCAGAAAATATTCTCGGAATTTTAACACGCGCATTCATTAATTCTTTACGCGGTTGCACGCGCACGTGTTCGTCATATCTCACACTCTCTATCGCAGCTTTGTAATTAGACCAGATTTAAAAATGAGAGAAAAGAAATAATTGTTGATAAGAGAATTTTGTATAAAATGAATAGACAGAAACTTTTTTAAGCTTAAGAAACGTTAATTTTTTATTTCTATTTAAAAATGACACGAAAGAAACGTTAATTAATTTTAATTTCAAAATAAGCGATGGCGATGCAATTTTTTGAATTATGCTAAGATTCGAGAGTTTCAATAGAAATTAGATTGCAGTTCAAAAAATAAAAATCAATCGCGCCAATGCTTGGTTGTTCGTTCGAAGCCAAATATAGCTAAGGGATAATCTCGGCAGCAATTTAGATACGTCATCTCTTGGGATCATCGGGCGCATAAACCACGTGGTAAATAGGGTTTAGCCTCCATACAAGATCCCCCTGCATTTGTATCGACGGCAGTAAGATGGCACGTGCGCGTGCTGAGAGAATCAGAAGGAAGCGTCTCCGATTAGGGGAAGACAAGTTCGTTCAACTTGAGACATACGGTATGTCAAGGTACAACTTCCCCGAAAGATGTCCGGACTCAGGATACCTAAGCCAAGACGTATCGCAAGCTTGTCGCGAGGTCGTTAACCTTCCCGTAGTTGTGATGACACGAAATTAACATAAAATACGTCAATTTATGTTAAGTAAGAGTTCAAGTTCGCTCGATAATTATTCGTACGGTTATAAACATGTCATGATCATTTTTCGAAAGAGAATTAGATTATTATACATATATAATCAATAACAGAAGGATGCAGCGCGTTCTAATACGAAATATTATGCAAAAATAAATGTAAATAATTTTATCTATTTTATATATTATGATCATTTTCACATATTTCTATTATTTTTCTTTTTAATCCAAAATTTTTCTATTTTTTTAAATCATTAAAAATCGAAGAAAATCTCACTATTTGAATGTGGATTTGCCCCATTATCTAATTCACATATGCCTTTTAGACTTCAATAATTAGATGAATTTTTTTTAAATTTTTAATCTCGTAAAAGAGAAAGAGAGAGAAAGAAATCACTTTATCTATTCCTCTTATTTATATATTTTTTTCACTTTATGTGAGAACCCGTTGACAGGATCTGAAGTAAAACGGATGCCAACATATTTCCTTCCGTCTACTATCCCACGTCATTTTTCTCACTTTTAGCGTTGGTGT